CTGAGGTACCACATCATACCTATCAGATTGGCTAACATGACAAAACAGGAAAATGATAAATGCTGGAGAAGATGTGGGAAAATTGGAATACGAATGCATTGTTGGTGGAGTTGTGAACTGATCCAACCATTCTGGAGAGCAATTTGGAACTATGCCCAAAGGGCTATAAAACTGTGCATACCCTTTGGCCCAGCAATACCATTTCTGGGTCTGTATCCCAAAGAAATCATAAAAATGGGAAAAGGATGCACATGTACAAAATATTTATAGCAGCTCTTGTTGTGGTGGCCAAGAATTGGAAATTGAGGGGATGCCCATCAGTTGGGGAATGGCTGAACAAGTTGTGGTATATGAATATAATGGAATAGTATTGTGATATAAGAAATGATGAGCAGGAAGACTTCAGAAAAACCTGGAAAGACTTGTATGAACTGATGCAGAGTGAAGTGAGCAGAACCAGGAGAACATTGTACACAGTAACAGCCACGTTGTGTGATGACTAACATTGATAGACTTAGCCCTTCTCAGCAGTGCAAGGATCTAACACATCTCCAAAGGTCTCATGATGGAAAATGCTATCCACATCCAAAGAAAGAGCTATGGAATTTGAATACAGATGGAAGCATACTATTTGCTCCTTTATCCTTCTGTTTTGTTTTGTTTCCTCTTTCTGGTGGTTCCTCCTATTGGTTCTAATTCTTCCTTACAACATCACTAATGTGAAAATACGTTTAATAGGAATGTATATGTATAGCCTATATCAGATTGTGTACCATCTTGGGGAGGGAGGGGGAGAAAAATTTAAAACTCAAAAGCTCATGGAAGTGATTGTTGATAAATCAAAATAAATTAATAAAAATTAAAAAAAATTAGAATGGAGCAAATGGAAGCTAATGACTATGAGAAATCAAGAAATTATAGAACAAAACCAAAAGAATGAAAAAATAGAAGACAATGTGAAATATCTCATTGGAAAAACAACTGACCTGGAAAATAGATCCAGGAGAGATAATTTAAAAATTATTGGTCTACCTGAAAACCATGATCAAAAAAAGAGCCTAGATATCATCTTTCAAGAAATTATAAAGGAAAGCTGCCCTGATATTCTAGAACCAGAAGTAAAGTAGAAATTGAAAGAATCCACCTATCATCTCCTGAAAGAAATCCCCAAAGGAAAACTCCTAGGAATATTATCCCCAAATTCCAGAGTTCCCACGTCAAGGAGAAAATATCGCAAGCAGCCAAAAAGAAACAATTCAAGTATTGTGGAAACACAATCAGGATAACACAAGATTTAGCAGCTTCTACTTTAAGGGATTGAAGGGCTTGGAATATGATATTCTGGAGGTCAAAGGAGATAGGATTAAAACCAAGAATCAGCTACCCAGCAAAACTGAGTATAATTCTTCAGGAAAAAAAAAATGGACATTCAATGAAATAGAAGATTTTCAAGCATTCTTGATGAAAAGACCAGAGCTGAATAGAAAAATCTAGCCTTTAAATCCCAAGGTATCTTGGGAGGTTTCATTGATCAAAATTAATTTATATTCCTTGGGGTAGAGTATCTGCAGGTAAGGGTATGTTATCCTATGTGGACAGAGGGAAGGGAAAGGAAGGAAAGAAAGGAAATAATAAAGAGAAGGAAAGAAAAATAGAAGGAAAGAAAGGAAAGAAGGAGCTGTGTTGCTCAACTGGCCAGTTCTAGTTGGGTCCCCAGTGGGGCAGCTCCTACTACTACTCACAGAGGAAAGAAAGAATGAAGGAGTTGTTACATTACAACATGAGAAGGTATATGAAAGGGGAGGGGGAGCAGAGGAACAGAGAAGACTGTGTGGGAAGGTGACCCCTGTGGTCCCAGAAAGATAACAGTCTTCAGGGGAGTAAAATGAAAAGAGGAAGAAAAGAGACTTTGCTTCAGTGATGGGAGGGAGTTCCCCTGATGAATGTAACTCCTGTTTTTTTGGATTCATGTGAAGCATAGTAAATTTTTTTCCATCCTGAGGAGTTACAGTCATGCTGGCAAAGCAAAAATATTCAAAAAATAAAAGGGATAAACAAGGCAATGACATTATGCTGAAAGGAACCATAGACAACAAACCAGTACAGTAATAGACTTATATGATCCAAATGCCTTAGTATCCAAATTCACAAAAGAAACATTGTCTGAGTTGCAGGAAGACATAGAGCGCAACACAATAGTGACAAGAGACTTCAGTATCCCTCTCTCAATTTTGGATAAGTCTTAACAGAAAGATAAATAAAGGGAAAACATGGGATTAAACATAAACTCTCTTCTCCTCCAAACTTGCCTATTTCTGTTGAAGGCACTACCATATTTCCAGTAACTCAGGTTTATAATGTCAGTATTATTCTGGTTTTCTCACTCTCCCTTACCCCACATATCCAGTCTTTTGCCAAATCTTGCCATTTCTGTGTTCATAACATCTCTGGAATCTGACCTTTCTCTCTACTCACACAGCTGCCACCTTTGTTAAGGCTCCATCACCTCTCACCTCAATCATTGCAGTGGCTGCCTCCTTGGTCTGTCTTCCTTAAGTTTCTCACCACTCCAGTCAGTTCTACATATTGTTGCCAAAAGTAATTTCTTGAAGCATAGATCTGACCTCTTGAATAGGTTCAGCCAACTCCAGTGCCTTAGCCATTATCTCTAGAATAAAATGTAAACTCCTAAGTTCAGCTTTTAAAGTCGTGTACATTCTGGCTTAAACCCACCTTTTTAACTTCATTAGATCATCTCTTTCCTATTTTCTGTGTTCCAGCCCCACTGGCCTTCTCTCTAACCTTGGCTCACGACATTTATCTCCCATCTCTGTGCCTTTGCATTGTCCATCTCACACACCTAGAATATACTCCTTCTTTACCTCTGCCTCTGAGACCCTCTCCACTATCAAGATGTGGCTGAACTACCACCTTCTAGACAGGGGTGGGGAACCTGTGGCCTTGAGGCCACATGTAGCACTCTAGGTCCTCAGGTGCAGCCCTTTGACTGAATCCAAGCTTCACAGAACAAATCCCCTAAAAGAAGGCTTTCATGATCCTGCCCCAGACCGTAACTGCTGGTGCCCTCCTTCCTTATATACAGCAAACAACAACAGCCTTATATACAACTAAATTGTGAGTATAAATGCATGCATATACATATATGCATGTATTTATTAGCTTTATATTTATGCTGTATGTACTCCTCCATTTGAATGTAAGCTCATTTTGTATAAGGATTGCTTCCTTCTTTGTCCCTGAATCCCCAGTGTTTAGCACATAGTAGGAGCTAAATAGATACTTGTTGATTGATTGACAAAAGAATCTTGGGCTAGATAGATCATAAGTCTAAGCCATTATAGGAACTCCTGTATTTCAGTAGAGTTGACCTGACTGAACACATAGCCAAAGGGATTAGTTCAAGTGACATCTATTTCTACCTTCTACTGTGATAAAGGAGACCTACTAAGAAAAAAAAAATAGCAAAAATTAGTCAGCAGATAGGAAGAGAAGCCAAATTTACCTATGAGTTTGTAAACCACTTGCCAGCTAATTAACTTCAAATTAATTTTATATTTTCAGACCATTTTTATCAGCTTCCCCTGCCATGAGGTGTTTTTCCCCCAGACACATACTCTAACACTACCCCTATGTGATTCATGGAATTTTGCAGGTATTTTCTTGCCCCAATGAATTTTCTCTTGTGAACATGCAAGATATATCACAGTTGTTTTAAACTGCAAATAACCTAATCTAGGTGCTTCTTTTTGTTTGACTACACTGATGGGGAGATTTTGAAAATTATTTGTAGTAAGTGCTCACAAAGGTTTTTGGCCCTTTTTTATTTTTAGCTGCCATGTTGATTGATAAAATGCATGTATTTTTAAATTGGCATTTTGTAATTGAAACAACATTATACTCCTAAGTTGTTAGGTCAAAGGAAGTGTCCTTTCAATGCAAGAAGATAGATTTTCTCTGGCTTCTTTTTTTCCCCTTTCTTTTGGTATGATACTCATTTTCTTTTCTAACAGTGGTTAGGGGGATCTCATAATTCCCCCAGGAAGGTACTGTGGCCATGGTCAAATATCATAATGAGGTGAAAAGCCAGTTTGCATGCAGTATTTGTACACTGTCAGCTTATCAAATCCCTGGATTAGTTCTCCAATATGCTAAATGGGTTTTGCCTTAATGTACTGCTTATCTAAAGAGATCCAATGACAGCATAATTGGAACCTAAAAGCAGGCATAATCATTACATACACTGTTGTGTTTACTTTATTAACAAGCTGAAGAAAAAGTTTATTGCATCCTTTGGATGATTCAACTGTCTATCTCTCACAAGACTTGCATGCCCTCTGCTGCCCTCTTGGTTTATTTAATTTATTTACCCCCCAAAAAATGCCAGTATTGGTGCTGAAGAATTCTGTGTGTCAAAAAGAAAATTACTTCCATTTTATTCTGCATAGAATTCTAACATGCTCCTGGAAAGAGGGCTCACTGTATATTCATTGTGTTGGGAAGTAGCTACACCTTGGTACTATGGAAGTAAAGTAAACTACTTTTATTTTTCATAGCTATAAAGTTAGATTCTGGCAAAGAGAAGAGATTTAGTGGAGTCCGTGTTTTACATTATCTTGTTCATTGATCACTGTAAAATGAAAATGACAATTTAGATTTGTTATTTTAAAATGAAACTTTATTGATTCTTTGCAAATATGAAATACATTAAGAAATGAATCAAAGAAGTATTTTGATCATATAGGAAGAATTCCAGGACATTAAGTTTCATATAAACGTGTGTGTGTGTGTGTGCGTGTGTGTGTGTGTGTGTGTGTGTGTATTTTCCTTTAATAATGCTGAATACTATTTACTATTGCGTCATGAACAAATAAATAAATCCTACCTAGGAGGGCAATGCCTGAGAAGTAACTTCCTTTGTAAGACCCTCCTGGTTTTTTAGTTAATTTCATCTAATTTTGTTTTGCTTTGTTTTGTTCCAGGAAGGATTTTCACTCATCGACAGCAAGAAGTGGCTGAAGATTGTAAGGCGGGTGGATTGTTTACTGTTTGGATCGACAATAAAGGCAAGCATCCTGCAGACACTGCCAACCAAGCTGGCATGCCATTCTTTTCTACATGGCTAGTTTTTTTTTTCCTTGTCATTTATGAAATGTTGCCTCACAAAAACTCTAAATTTAATTTAATTATTAGAATCTCATAACCTTCATTTCATGATTCACAAACCATCATGAAATAAGGATATAAACGAAGCACAGATCTAGTTGGCAGTGGGGACACTGCTTACCTTTTAAAGTTAAGGCCTAGGAAGGGCTTACGTGTCTTTCTATTGACTTTCTTCAGGTTTTCCCCTGTCCTCTCATGCAAAAATAGCAGTGAGAGTTGTTTTATTTTTGCTATTTGCTTAGGAGTTTTCTTGCTATTGTATGCTAAAATGTATGAATATGTAGATATGTTTCATTTAGTTTTCTCATATTTTTTTTATTTTCTTTTTCACATTTTAAAAAATTCCCTTACCTGATTCCCAGCTGTGCTTAAACATTATGAATGGTTCTCATCAAAGAAGCATGCTCGTTAATCACTAGGATTGTGTACTTGAGGAAAAATCTGTGGAAAATAGCCTATTAACATTCCTCAGTGGATAATGTTTCAGCTCAAGTGAAAGACACTAATTTTTAATAGAATCTTAAAACTGGAAGGGATCTAATTGAAAGTCATCTAACCAAGAAAAGCAGAAAACTGGGGGAAATTTTTTTACAGCATGTCTTCCCAGATTTTTCTGAAAAACCATTTCCTTCCTCATTTCTTACAGCACAGCAATGTTCCATCACAGTCACATAGAATAACTTGTCCAGTCTTTCCCAATTGATGGCCATCCCCTCAGTTTCCAGTTCTTTGCTAGCACAAAAAAAAAACTGCTGTGAATGTGTTTGTATATATGGGTCCTTTTCCTCTTTCTTTGATCTCTTTGGGGTAAAGACCTAGTTGTGGTATCACTAGATCCAAGGGTATGCACAATTTTATAGCCCTTTGGACATAGTTCCAAATTGTTCTACAGAATGATTGGATCAGTTCGTAGCTCCACCAGCAGTGCATTGGTGTCCCAGTTTTCCTACATCCTCTCCAACATTTGTCATTTTCCTTTTTTTGTCATCTTAGCCAGTTGGGTTGGTACCTCAGAGTTTTTTAATTTGCATTTCTTTAATCAGTAGTGATTTAGAGCATTTTTTCATATGACTAGAGATAGCTTTGATTACTTCATCTGAAAACTTCCTGTTCATATCCTTTGACCATTTATCAATTGGGGAATGGCTCTTATTTTTATAAATTTGGGTCACTTCCCTATGTATTTGAGCAATGAAAGCTTCATCGGAGAAACTTGCTGTAAAAATTTTTCCCCCAGTTTTCAACTTTTCTTGGTTAGATGACTTTCAATTAGATCCGTTCCAGTTTTAAGATTCTATTAAAAATTAGTGTCTTTCATTTGAGCTGAAATATTATCTACTGAATGAATGTTAACAGACTTTTCCACAGATCTTTTCTAAAGTATACAATCCTAATAGCCATCCTTGTCCTTGAGGAGCTTACAATCTAACAAAGGAATACAATGCACAAAAAGGTGAAAGGAGGGAGGGCACCCAGCACAGAGCATGATGTTGGAGTTACAAACAAGAAGAGCTGGAGAGTTCTGAGCTCTTCATAAAGGAAGGCCTTGGAGGAGGTGATGGCTCTGCCCTCTCGACCTCCCATCAGGGGCAGAGTGGCCACTGAGGGTGCCGAGGTGTTGCGTGTCAAAGCTGATATGATCTCCACAGTGAGGAGATTACTCGAAATGTTCATGAGATGTATAGGTGGAGAGAGCCATCAGGCATTAAAAGTGCAGGTCTGGAGCTTGGGAGACACGTATTGGGAGTGGAGATTCAGCTTTAGGGCATCATCTATGTGGAAGTCATCATTAAAGCTGTGGCAGTGAGTGGGCGAAGAGCACACCAAACAAAAATGAGGGGCAGGGACCCAGACGTGGAGGGACAGGGACAGGAGGAGGAAGAGTTGTTGAAGAGGAGGGGCTGAGAGGTGGGTGGGCAACTGAGGAAAGTGCAGTGTGCTGACAGCCAAGGAGCGGAGAGTCCTGGCAAGGGGGTAGTCAACAAAGACCTCGGGGTGCTTTCTGTAATATTTAAAGGGGTATGTTCTATTCTAGATCTCTAGCACAGAGGCCTCACAGGGATCCTGGGTATCTGCTCCTCCCTGCTCACTAACCTAGCCATGTAGTTGTGTACCAAGGCTGTTACTAGGGAAGTCAGTAGGCTTTACATTTCTTACTTTAATTAGCTTGTCACACCTACCTCAGCTACTTCAGGTACAAAGTCTGTTCTTGGCTGTCCTCTAGGGTTTCCTCCAAAAAAGAAGGGAAGTTAATAAGAAAGATACCTGATGTACAAACAAGAACTGAGTACACCACAGATCCTTTAATCCCACACAGAAAAGGTAATGCTTAGCACAAAAGAATGATAGAATACATTACAAAATGATTAGAAGAGTCTAGTAATGTGTCACCACTAGCACAGTCAGTTTGGATACCAATATTGAAGTCTTGTTGGGACATGAAACAATTTTTGCAAGGCTACAGACTAGCCATTTCACATTTCACCAACCTTGATCTTCTCTCTGGTGATCTTTATTTTTCCCTCAAAGCCCTCCCCTATTTCCTATTATTGTGGAAAGCACCACCACGCTCCCAGTCACCTATGCTCCAATCTAAGTGTCCTTCTTCACTCCTTATTCTTTTTCACTCCCCCGTTCCACCCCAATATCCAAATCAGTTGCCAAGTCCTAGCTTTGCACCATCTTTCACATACACCCTTTTCTGTCCTCTGACACTGCCACCACCTTGGTGCAGGCCCATATCACTTTACACATGACTATTGCTCTAACCTGGTTGTTCTGTTTGCCTCAAGACTCTCCACTCCAGTTTATCCTCCATTCAGCTGTCACATTGATTTTCTTAAAGCACAGATCTGACCCTCACACATAATTCCCCATTCAATCAACTCCAGTGGCTACCTGTTACCTCTCGGATCAAATGTAAAATCCTGTTTGGCATTTAAAGCCCTTAATAACCTGGGCTCCTCCTACCTTTCCAATCCTCTCATATGATACCATCCTCCTAGTGACATTGGCCCCCCCTGCTGCTTCTTCCATTTCTCAACTCCCAGCATTTTCCCTGGAAGTCACTCATACATGGAATTCTCTTCCTCCTCATCTTGGCCTCCTGGCTTCCCTTAAGTCTCCTCTGACACATGGCAGGTGCTTGTGGACTTGATGCCAACTCTGCCCATTGCGTTAGCACACTCCTGAAGCTGCTTGGATCCTTACTGTTAGCCCCTTGCCCCAAGAGATTCTACTGATGCTCCTTCGCTGGTAGGAGACACAGCCGCTTACTGTAAGCACAGACTTTCATGTTTTCACAAGGCCTCGTGTCAAAAGAAGGCAGATACAAAAGGGAAGTGGCCTCATTCGAGACACTAGCTAGATAGGACGTGTGCTCACAGCTTAAAGCAAGCTTGTGAAGGGAATGGAGGAAGGGGATGACATGCCCCTCACCAGCCTCATGTTTCAAGAAGGAAGACAGTGAGTCAAAGTGGGAGTCCTTCATGGCTAGAAGCTGCCCCCACCTCCTGCTTCTACCTAGTCACTAGGAATAGCATCTGAACATGCTCCGGAAGAGAAGGGGTGAAGGCTACCAAAGGGTGTCTGCTACACTCCTTTCTTTATATGAATGCTTTTAATTTCTAGAAGCTGTCACACCTTGCCATTGGTTTTCTGGGTGAGAAGCTCCCTAACTGCATTACTCCTGTTGTCTCAATCTCACTTTGACAGACTCTTAAGTTCCTATCTGCCACTTTGTTTCATTAGTGCCATCCTGTGATAGAAGTATTGTCTGAATCGGTAATGATTCTGTATTTTCTTAAATGGACACAAGATTCATTTATTCAGTGAGTAATTTAAAATTACTAAAATCTTGTATTCATGCAATTAAAGCTATATTTGCTTCTGTGCTGAGACATCTTTTGCATAATAAGTCCTGGCCACGTTTATGGAGTCCTGCTCAACTTTCTTCTTTCAGCTTCTTGCTTCTTCACTTCTAAGTACAAGGGAAATTTTGAAATCACTTCAGTTAAATCACTTTTTTAGCTTTGCCACTGGTGATTTCCACATTTGTGACATTTTCTGATCAGCAGGAAAATTTGCTTCTTTTGTTAGTGGGTCGTAACAGATTATATAAGAAGCCTTTAAGGGGTTTAGGTTTTTCTTTAGAACTTGTATGTAATGTTTGTCGCCTCACTCCCATCACTGGTTTTGCATGGAGGCCAAATCTCACAGTATATAATACCCATGCAGTGTGGTCAGATTTAGTGAAGATGATGAGTAAATGATAATGAAAAAATCGCTACCACTTTGTCATCTTTTTTCCAGTGTCAATGCCAGGTCTAGTTTTTCATCTATAAAATGAAGGGGTGGAACTAGATGGTCCCTATTAGCTCTAAATTTATGATCCTATGAAAAAGAGGAATAAAATCCCAGGTAGAACCATAAATCCAAACTATTTGCATTTTGATAAAAGCAAAAAACATTAACTTTCATGAAATAACTTACTTGCTGTTTTCTGATCTTTTTTTATGTGTATTTACAAATTTTTGATGCTATTTAAAGATATAGTTGACAGTGTTTGTTGTTCTCTTCTGCTTTACTCACTACACCTAACTTTTTTTACAAGTCTTTCCATATTTCTTTGTTTTCTACACTTTAACCTTTTTATGGTGCAATAATATTCTATTACAATGAAAAATACCTGAGTAAATTGTGGTACCAATGAACCACACATGGTGGTATTTTATTTGTTTGTTGTTGTTTAGTTGTTTTCAGTCATGTCTGACCCTTCATGACCCCATTTAGAGTTTCTTGGCAAAATACTGGAGTGGTTTGCCATTTCCTTCTCCAGCCCATTTTACAGACAAGGAAACTGAGGTAAACAGGGTTAAGTGACTTGCCCAAGGTCACACAG